TAAACATTTAAGGTATTCCTTAAGCTTAGATCCCTGGCATGTCCAATTCTTATTATCAGATTAGTGGATACAAGAATTTCACCACAACATATTTGTTAACACAAGAGCACATGTCAATGTTTATGGTTTAATCTATTGTTATTCAAATGAAAGGTCTACGATTGGCCTACAGTTCAGCAAACCTTTCTGTCCTGTGTGTCATTTTTGTTGGAAAATATATTTCGCTCGAAAAAAAGGCAAAAAAAAGGTATGACCTCGACGTGATTCGAACACGCAACCTTCTGATCTGGAGTCAGACGCGCTACCGTTGCGCCACGAAGCCATATATATATTTTTTCGCTTTAACGCTTTATTTATTCTTACAGTATGTAATTTAACATGATCAGCATTATTGCGTCATTTTATTTAGAGAAACTTTATTTACATATGATACAGTTGTGTATCGGTTTAACAGTTTAATAAGTATTTTCTATATTTTATAGTAGTTTATTGCATGTTTAATACGTGTCACGTACTTAAAGGTTCAATACGTCTCAGAAATGCTATCATTGTTATTTCTTAAACACTGTTAATATTTTGTATCCTAAAATGTACAAAAAATATCTCTTATATTTTTTAGGTTCCAAGTGACGACTTTCAGATTTAATGAGTTGTATTTTGCCATTTTTCACGTCTAAGTAAGTTCAAAATAGGAAGACATTTCGTTATATATAATCGTTTATTTTAATTTCATTGTATATTTTCATTTGAAATCGTTTCATTCCCACCTTGATTTATGTCCCATTATACTTTAAAATATGTTTTAATAAATAAGACAGTAAATGCATGTTACTCTCTCCAATACATGTACAATTTCCGTTATGATGGGGTCAATAAAGTAACCGAATTATAAACTACTATTACTACGCGCCTTAAAATATTACGTTATAAATGTTTAAAAAAAATTAAACGCTGCGAGCAGGATTCGAACCTGCGCGGGCAATGCCCATTTGATTTCGAGTCAAACGCCTTAACCACTCGGCCATCACAGCTTGTAAAGACTACAATATATATATATATATCAATTAAATTTTTTCCATTAACTCTATCATATTGATAGCCATTACATTCATTTTATTACATATTGAACGGCTTTAATGTATTTATAAACGTATACATACTATTGACGATTCGATTAAAGATATAGTATGCTCAAATTTGATATTTTAAAGAAGAAAAAAACTGATAACTATGGTGGCTGATTTGTGCCATTTGTGTTTTCGCCCCGCGCCCCGCCATTCTCGACTTTTCGCTTGGCGGGGTCGCGGGACGAAATCACGCTAATTAGCGGGGCCGCGGGGCGAAGTTTTATTTTATTAAACATCGCACCGCGCCCCCGCCGTTTTATTTATTAATTCACGCTCCGCGCCCTCGCGGGGCGAAGTTTTATTTTTTAAACTTCGCCGCGCACCCCCGCTAATTAGCGTGTTTTCGCTCCGCGACCCCGCCATTTAAACTTGTTAATTCTCCACTTTTCGCTTGGCGGGGTCGCGGGACGAAAACACGCTAATTAGCGGGGGCGCGGGGCGAAGTTTTATTTTATTAAATTTCGCCCCGCGCCCCGCCGTTTTATTTCTTAATTCACGCTCCGCGCCCTCGCGGGGCGAAGTTTTATTTGTTAAACTTCGCCGCGCACCTCCGCTAATTAGCGTGTTTTCGCTACTCGACCCCGCCATTTTAATTTGTTAATTCTCGACTTTTCGTTTGGCGGGGTCGCGGGACAAAACACGAATGGCACCAATCAGCCACCATAGATAACAGCTAAAGTGTTTTTGGTATTATATATATATATAGAATAAACATATTATGAGTACAAACAGAGAAGACATGCTAAGTTTAAAACTCTACATACTATAGTAAAACATCATAATGATTAATTGGTCAATAAATGCAGGTGATACTTTTTAAGAAAATTCCAAAATATCTTCGCTGCGAGCAGGGTTCGAACCTGCGCGGGCAATGCCCATTGGATTTCAAGTCCAACGCCTTAACCACTCGGCCATCACAGCTATACAGATTTAATTATTAATATCACAAGTGATTATCTGGTATACACTGATACAATACAACTACATAGAAGTCACATCGCATCTTTATATATTTATATGACACACTTTAAAAACTATTTCTTTGATGTAATGAAAATGTAAAATGTATTAATAAAAAAACTTGTACTAATAGTACGACCGAATAATGACTCCGAGTTCGTGTCCACATAGTTACATAGTTAACTATTCCTTCGTTTTCTTATAGATCATTTTCAAACATGTGTTTCAAAGCACCATGTCTTATTATCATTATTATTATTATCATTATTATCATTATTAATATTATTATTAGTAGTAGTATTAGTATTTAACCTGAATATTTTTCTCATTATCATAAACTGTAGTATAAATTCTTTAGTTATTTCATAACACTTAATAATAGCGTAAATGAATGTCATATTATCTTTATTGTAAACATTTAAATCAATTAGGACAGGGTAACAGCTGTAATAAAATAAATGCCCTTGTTGAAACATAATCGAACCTTCTTGGTCATTTACACTTTTTATCAACACTACAAATGTGTGCCTCCATAGCTCAGTGGTTAGAGCACTGGTCTTGTAAACCAGGGGTCGTGAGTTCGATCCTCACTGGGGGCTTTCAATTTTTCATGAACACCTCATAATAATTTAAGGATCATCACACATCACTCAGGGTCTCATGGAAGTATAGTGACTGATCAGTGACCCTGCAAACTTTTATTTTGGCCAAACTGGGAGAGAACAATAATGCTATGGGTCCGAAGTATTGTCTGCTGTTTGTTATATCATACTTACCGCAATCAAGTAGAGACGGAATGGTAAAAGGTATAACTTGTAAGTCATGTTTTTACATAAAATGTTTAGTAAAATGTACTAAAAACTGTTGGCAGTGTGCTTAATGTGTGTTTTGTAATAAATATTTTAGTATCTTTTGAAATGTATGTTAAACAATAAATATGTAGCTGTAATGTTTTAGAATATAGTATCTTAATAATGATGCTAATGAATTTTTTGCAAAATCATTTATTGATTAAAACTGATCATTTACTGATTATTATATCTCACAATTGACTTAATGTTTGAAATTATATTTGCCTGCCCAATAGCGGTACAGTATTTCAAATGAATCGTAACACATTTACTTTAGTGTTAATCAGTCAAGTTAATCGGCTTTTACATTTGAAAAGGGACGTTACTCTATATTTATATACTATTTTACTTTATACATTCACCTCCCTTGTTAAGAAAGTTGAGTAAATTTGAATAGGTAAATCTAAATAACTTTTAATTAATCGTGTTACAAAATGATTATTGAAACATATCATACAGATTTTTTTTATTCAATGATTATCAAGGAGCGTTTATATATCTTAACCCTTAAATACATAAAACATATTCTGTTCTGTTCTTAGTTAACTAGGAGTTCAAGTTGGTCGCGCACATTCTTTTATACGCGCAATCGGAATAAACCCTCGTTTAATTCAAGAATATACGATGTGTTTGTTTGTCTGTATTTTACCACATTTTTGTTGGTCAGTCGACAACAAAAATCAATTTCTCCACGAATGACCGACTGCCAATTGGTGTGCGATTACTGAGAAATAAATGTGATCTATTGAAAGTAATGAAAAATAAAATAAACTCATACTCTATAAAAGATAAATACTACATCCGGTCGATTTTTCATAGAAACGACCGTGTCGTAAATAGGTCTGTAAAAAGGTTTATAATAAATAGCACATGATATTAATAATACATTTACAGTATATTGGAAAATGGATATATATTTCTGTATACATGAACATTCAAATTAATATGTATCCAAATAATTTTAACGCCGTGATGATTTAAGTTTAACGGTATATTTCTTAATTTCAAATCGATTAAATCCTATTTTATATCATATAGGTACAACTAGAATTATTCATAACAATTCATACAATTGATACATATATCAGTCAATGTTAATAGAACGATCCACGAATAGGGTATATTTGAATAATTTGGTGAAAATTAAATAAATATTTATCTCACGCTTTGCGGCTTTAAATCAACAAAAAAACTTACTATTGATACATTCAACTAACTAAGCCCCTGTAGATAACTAAACGGACAAAGGTATGGTATTTATAAGATATAAACATTAATGATAAATATTAGGTCTGGTTTTTGTTAGGTCAATATCTATACATTCTATAGGCGTGCTGTTTTATTATTGAATTTTTTGTACATTGATATTAAACAATTTATATAAAGTATAATAACAAAATTACATTTGAATGATTGTTAAATCATATATCGTATCTAGATATGTAAGACTTAGTGAAACTCTACTGACATAAAACCAGTCACATTTTATAGCTTTCTGATGTGATCTGACGGATGTTCGTGAAGTTTGCAGTCTAGCAGCCTGAAGTTGGCAGCCTAGTAGCCTAGTAGCCTAGCAGCCTGGCAGCCTGGCAGCCTAACAGCCTGGCAGCCTAAAGAAAACTAAGAATAGTGCAAACATGAAAACCGTCGAAAATACAATTATAGCACTTCTTCACGCCCTTATCAATATCGTGATCGTTATTTTTTAAGATGTTGATTTTTATTTTAACATAATTTTTTATTCTGACGTTTCGAAATTTGTGAAGTTAGCAGCATAGCAGGATAAAACAAACATGAAAACCGTCGGAAATGAATCGGTAGCACATACTTAGACCATTCCACGTCTTATTTCAGTATCGCGATCTTTTTGTTTTTTCAATATTGATTTTTTTTTATTTTGACGCTTCGAAATTTGTGAAGTTAGCAGCCTAGCAGCGTGGCAGCCTAGCAGAAGTGCTACTAAATTAATGTATTTCCGACTGTTTTCATGTTTGTACTATTCTTGGTTTCCTTTAGGCTGCTAGGCTGTTAGGCTGCCAACTTCAGGCTGCTAGGCTGCCAACTTCACGAACGTATCTGACGGTGTAATTAGGTTCTTTCTCCTTATTTACATTGATAATAATTTATTTAAACAGCTGCGAAAGAAAACGCGTTTTTATATCATTTTCCTGATACAATGCATATTTGATGTAATTTAAAGTTTACCACATATTCCGTTGAAAATTATATTTATTTCATGCTTTACGGCTTTAAATCGACAAAAAACTTACTGTTGATATAGTAAGCTATCTAAGCCCCTGCAAATAAATTCCAGTACATAAACAGACAAAGGACGGCGTATGTATTAAATACAAACATTAATGATAAATATAAGGGCTGTTGTTTTGTTAGATTAATACTTTCGCATTTGATAAACGTGCTATTTCAGTAATCATATAGATTATATAAACAATATATAATCATCGTATTTGAATGATTGTGAAATCATGTATTTAGATATATAAGACATAGTGAAATCTTTTTCAAATAGATAACAATTTTACCACATGCTTTTATTTTCTTATTTTGTGAGTTTTTTTTTTATTACCGTGTGTGTTTATTAACATATTGCATTGTGGCTAGAATAAGAAATGATTTGTCAAACAAGATCAAAAGTAGCCTTCGATAGTTCATTCTTGCAACAGATTTTTTTTCATATATCTAATTTTATATAAAAACTACGTACACAGGTGGACATTAACGGAGAATAAAGCAAAATAAACTTTCGGATAAATTCACGCGGGCACGTACCGTTTATTATTATAATTATTTTATGCGTGAGTCAGGGACCAATGCAAAAATATCTGACTGCAATGACAACTTCTAACATTACATTCTCAAAGATATCTGTCAAATCGCACGCGCACATGAAAAGTATACCGAAGCCTCTTCCATTATGACAAAAAAGATTACCGAATCAGAGTATATCTTAATATGAAAGTAAAACTTTGATACTTATGGCTAGTCTGTTTTTTCTTTCTCTTTATTAATATTTTGTTCAATTCACTTATTAAAAACTGGTACTAAAATGATTTGACATACTTGAAACTGTAAGATTTTGATAAACTAGATAACATTTTATTTCGTGTCTGAAACGCAATGTAGTTTTTTTTTGTCTTTTCTTTCTTTTGCTTAAAAATGTCCAATTGGAAATAGTGCTTTCAGAGTAAAAGCACATACATTTCATTTTATTTTTGATACAATATATAAATAGTGTAGTTCAAGTGATTATTCAAGATTTTTACCACATATTTTGTAACAGAAGTGACAGTAAATAATCCGATAATTTTCAAATTCTGGATATCAGAATATCTTTAAATCCTAATTTTTCATATAGACAGAATTACGAATTACGGTTATGATCCAGTTTCATTTCATCTTAACTTTAACCCTATTTGGGTTATACTAATTCGTCACTCTAATTATTTCAGTTTTAAACAATACCATCAGAATCTTTTCTCGTCACTGTTATTGTATTATTAGATTCATCATTAATGTCGGTATACAACAAAGGGGTATCTTTGTCATTCGTGTCTGTAAACGAATTCAGTTTCATTAAAGATTTAGTTGAATCACCGGTCGCCTTTGTATCTTGAGTAGGTCCATTACTTTCCCGTTTTATCCTGTGTAAACATGCAGCGCTTTCCACTTCACGTTTAGCAGCTTGTTCCATTGCTATACGACCTTCTGGAGAAAGACCATCGGAGAATTTCGCTCCGAATCTTCGTAGAAGAATTCCTCGTATTTCTACAAGATCATCTGCAGGTAAATTATATCCATTTAAATTCTCTTGAATAAATGTTGCTATTCTATCCATGGTGTAGTCAATAATGCCTGAAATTGTTATAAAAGATGCGTTGAAAGAAACAATGCTACTGCGGTGGCAGGTTATGGCATTTTTAAAATGCAGACCAAACTGTTCTTATTTTAATTGATTAACATTATTACACTTTATATATCTGTTTAAAAAATGCACTGTCTTCTAAACATTTTCCTCAGATCACAGTTTCGCTTACTGTACAATGTTTTAATCTTCAATGTTTCTTTTAACTTTTTATTTATTTCATATAACGAAATATCTCACATGAATTATTAGATATAATTTATTATTGTTGCGTTGTGTATTTAGTTAAAAGTTAAACTGTTCATGCAACCGGTAATTAAAAAAAATGGTGTTTTACTCACATTTTACGACTAGCAAAGAAATATCCAAAGTTAAGACTGATCATTTATTCCATTTTGCGGCGCGTGACAGGTGATTTCCGTCCCGATTATTCGGGCTACAATGTATATTTATATTTCATAATATTTCATATCTATTCAGAAAGTATATATCAATCAATATTTACACAAAGATCAGCACTTATCAATCGTTGATTACTTACTCAGCCTAAAATTGTGAAAATATTTGTCTTCCGCCGTGTGACATTTGACCGAACAATAAACACATATCTGTAAATTTAGCTGCATACAATGGTGGCTGTATTTGTATGCAGCATGGCCAAAGTTCGACTCTTATAGAAGAAAATGAATCCGATAGCATTCTTAAAGGAATACAAAAATACCAAGGCACAATATAGTGAAATAATTATAGATAACCCCTGTCATGACGAATAAACATTATAATGTACAGTTCTTTTTAAAATGTCTTTTGCAAAAAAAACAAAAGAAAATCTTATTTACAGAATGTTTCCTTAACCATATATAAGCATGATAATAATAATAGCAGAAACTCTATGCAAGCACTATCTCGTAATATATTCAAGAATGCATTAATTAAATACACGGAAACACCCCTCAATATATCAGGGCCGGGTCCAGAATTGTTTTACTGGGAGGGGTGGGGGAGAGTGTACGGAAGGGGGACTCCCTTCTGTAGTGGGTGGAGTGCCTTATTTAATATACTATATTATAAACTTTACCTTTACCATGCTTAACCTTTTAAACGGACTTGTCCATCATTTAATCTGAATGAGGCCACTAATCGTTTTTACGACATATTTCCAAAAAGTAATGACTGAATAGCAATTTTGGTCTACACTGATTGAATTGCTAAACTTTAGTTGCCGCCAGCAGGCTTAGGCTTAATGATATTCTAAGTTTACTCCTATAGAGTGTTTTATAACAATCTGTAGTAAAATATATCAAGAGGAGGCGAAACTTAAAAAAAAACATGCATAAAGAAAGATCAGTTATCATAATTATAATCGTGACAGCGTATATTGGTATTTTATATGGCATGACTGGATGTTTAAAAATCTTTAAAAGACATTAGCACGCTAGATTATGTCTAGCAAGTCATTCACGGGAGTAAATTATACCAGCTCTTAGAGATGTTTACATTGAATGCAACCACACTTCCTTGTTGATCTTTATTTTCATATGTAACATTAGGTTTGTGTTTATACCTCCATATAGTAATTTGTGTTAAAATAATTTGTTTAAGTATCACCGTTTTAGTAGACATTTAAAATAAAAGAAAGTGAAGCTTAGCATTACATGCATCTTAACTCCGACAGTTTAGTACTTGAAACACGTTACTGCAAATATTCTATATCATTTTACGATGGATCTTGTCAATTTCAAAATCTTTACCAATCATTACAAAGTCTGTTTAGGGTCTATTATCAAATCACTTTCACTTTTGACTAAATCTCAATAATAATATTACATGTTGGAAATGTTTATGAAAAATATAAACTAAAAATGTGTTTAGTCATACAGAACAAACACGGTTTTAGTGATTAAAAGTGGGAGTCAATAACTTTTCTTGAGCATTAGCAATAACTTTTCATAAGCATAACTTCTTAGGATTTTCCTCCTTCTTTCTTCCCGGAATTTCCTTTAAAATGATTGATCTTACTTAAGCTTTATTGGCTAACTAATCAATATAAGAACATATTAACCTAATATTCTCAGCAGAACTTTACGAAATAAGTGGTTTTTAATATCTTACAATGTCATGTCAAGTGTCAGGGTAATATTGTAATGAAAATGACTTCGAGAATCATGGAAAAAGTTGGTAACTATTTGGGATCGGCACTAAGTCTAAGGAAATATTGTGGTTTATATGCGCAAAAATCTATTTAAGTATTTCATTAGCATGAGGTTTAAAATAAAACAAATATTAACACAACCTCATATGCTGTTAACATTAGAAAAAGTAACATCCGTTTATATACAGGATTTCAACCCGTTAACAAAATAGATAGCAGAGTAAATATCAATCTCTTTTTATATAATTGTATGTGCGTATCATTAAATTGTCGTGCCGAAAACAGCACTTTATATAAATAAATATATGATTTAGCGTTCCCTCTATATAAGTGAATACTTCAATATTCTTTAACCCTTTATTACAATTTGAAGTGCATTTTATCTTTCACCGACTGCGTAAAAATTTCGTTTTTAAATAGCTTGCGTTATAAGTGTCATTAAACGCTTTGATTCTTATCTAATTCAAACTTCCTTTAATTAAAGATTGTCAAAAGATTTAACAGGGAAGAGTTAACCAAATTATATTCACTTTTTTGTAATACCATTGTATTTGAAGTTTTAAGATTACAAAAATATGTAAAACACCGCACTGTCGGAATATTAAGTATGTACCTTGCATAGTAACCTACAATGTAGGAGGGAAAAGGCAATTGTAAAAAGTCATTTCTTGTATGTCAATATTTGTTTACAACAACATCGTCTTAATGAATTATTCATGTGATAAAATACCCTCATTAACTCTTCAAGTATACAACGTTGATTTATTGGTTTTATTGAATAGCTTAAAGAAGGGAAGATGATATAGTGAAATATATACAGAGTTTTAATCCTATTCTGTCATTTGTCTTATTCGCAGGATTTTCAAAAATAACTAAAATATTATAATTGACATGGAATTAATGACATAGCATAATCAAAAAGCATAAATTAATGAAAGACAACTACCATTTAAATTCAACATTCAATAATATTATGCATGATAAGAACTAAAAAAATATTATTAATAATCAATATTATATAAATCTTTTTCATTTGTTATACCATTCGATAATACATACTATTATAGTGTCTATTTAAGTGAAAGGTCACTGTTGCATTATGTAGCCTTTTTTGCGAACACTTGATACGAATTATTTCAAATTTAAAGCATTTCAAGAATTGTTGTATGCAAGCTTCTTATCTCTCAATATTATATAGGTGTACATGTAATCGGAAATTGAGCACTGATCAGGTTTTCCAGATATTTTTGTAAAATAAAAACAAAACATCATTCTTTAGAAGATGGCGTGTTAATATCCGTTTAAGAAACTATGCAATGTCAGTGATAAACGTTTCAATAAACAATTTACATAATGATATTAATACCGGTTTATAACTTACAAATAGAGTGTATATTTAATGTTAAGCAATACAGTAGCTGTAGCATAGCATTAGATAGAAAACTACGCAATTATTTCATATAATATGAATATTTTCCGTCGGATCTCTATTTTGCGCTTCCATCCAAACTAAACATTTTTCTACAGACTGTATTTTGTCAGTCTCTCGTTCAACCTGTTCAGTATTAAATTTTACAGAATTGGCACCATAAGCACTTGTTTCCAATTCTTTAATAATTCCTGCGCTACTACTACGTCTAGTTTTCAAACCATTTGCTTTTGCTGCTTCCTTATTGGCTGATTCTTTCTCAAACGAACCTGTGATTGAAATTGTTTTTGATCTCCTCTTCTGCCGACTGCGTCTCATGTAAGTACTTGTTTCTTCACTATCATTGTCATCTATATAGTTTCCGGAATTTATTATACTCCCTGTCATGGCCGTAAGCTCCATCGCCATACGCCCTTCAGGTGAGAGGCCTTCCGAAAATTTGATAGAAAATCGACGCATTAAAATACTGTGTAGTTCTACTAGAGTATCTTGTGGCAGATTGTATCCATTCAAATTTTCTTGAATAAAAGTTGTCATTCCGTTGTCCATTACTTTATCTTGGACGTCCAAAACTGGAAATTATTATTAGTGCCGTATTAAAAACAATCATATTAAAATTTACGTATACTGGTACATTCTTAAATATTGTACATTCGAAAACACAATAATGAAATACATTTCATTCCCTTATCCATATTTTAATAAGCAAACAATCTTCAAAAAAGAAAGAGTGAAAAAATCTTGATGCATAATGATCTTTTAAGAATATTAACAGCCACTTAAAAAATAAGATGTTTCTATCTCCTATTAGAATATGCAAATTCTGATTAATACGAGTAAGAGTTCCTAAGCTCTTAAAGCCTCACAGTTTGGTAAAATATACCCTCCGCGTCGTAAATGATCTGTAATTATTGCATTGTATTGCAAGCAACCTTACGTAATAGAGTCTGTACAGTTTGTAGAAAAAACTATAAACTATTTTTCAAAATGATTGCTCAATGCATTTTAATTATAATCAATATTGGAAATGTATATCCTTCTTAACTCTATTATTAAGAGATTGCTTAACCATTGATTTCTCATTAAAAAGGCATTATGCACACAGTTAGTCGAAATCAAACAGTAAAAGTGAATTAATGCCTACATTTTGTATATTTAAAAACTAATACTCAAAACATTGCTTGATTCATTTTAATATCAAACATGCAAAGCAATCAAATGATTGAAAATATCACATTTTTACCGTTATAAAGCAAGTACAAATTGTTTTATATATATGGTAAAGATTATGTTCAATTGTGTTGATCAAGATTGTCTATGATAAAGTAAAACTTATGAAAAGAAATATAAGAGCCAAAAACGGCGAATAAGTTTTATGGATATCAAATTATTTGAAGTTAATATTAAAATAGAGAAAAATAGTATTCCTAAATAATACTAAAAAAACGGAAAAAAAATGAAAATATTGCAGGCTTCATTTGATTGAGCCTGTTTATGGACAGCAGTGGTAATTGAAAGCTACCCCCAACCCCACCTGAGCACCGACTTAAGCAAAATTCAACATTTTAACATGAAAATGGTGGATTTTTTTAAATTTTAGAACCATTAGCAGATGTGTTTATAAGGTGGTTATCATGGAGACGGTAATGTGACACATATTTGCCAATATTTACGAAGTGGATTTTTGTCCCCAAGGAAAAGGATGCGTTCACTATAAATGTATTCACTCTAAGTATATCACTTGTAGTTATTGTGTTTATACTTAATCCTAACAAATACAGTAACTATAAAAAAGAATTCTTTTAATGACAAAAAAATTGCACTTCCTTAAATGATTCAAACATATTCAAAACATCGCTATCCGTAGTAAAAAGCAACGTAAAGAGTTATAATTTGAAACTGTTATTAAAATGCATAACACAACGCACCTTCTATGATATATGTTGTAATCAACACAACATCTCTGTAAGTTTTCAATCCAAACAACTGCCTTTGATTTGTAGAATGCAAGTAAATTATTCTGTCCTGTTTACTTGTCCAAAATAAAACATTTTTTATACAATTCAATTATGATGAAAACAACATGTAACAATCACTGTTTTCACGTGCGCACTGTAATGCACAATGTACAATGTGTAATTATTTCAATACCAAACAATGTTATGCTAAATTTAATTATATGATAAAATTCGATCCCTTTAATAAAAAGTCATCATCCACATTTTATCTGCTCTATCTATTTTATTCATATCTGATTTGAGATACGTTTCCCTTCTTAACGAAATTATATAATGCAAGAAAACTGCTTAAGAACGCTTTAAAATTGGAGTTGTTCTCTTATGCCAATACAGTCGACAGTTTTATGATGTTCTTTCTGTGTAAGGTATGATCAAGATCAAGATCCTTATTTATATTCGATAAGATGCCTTTACTAAACAAAAGATACAATTTATGTGGTACTTTATCAGGCTGATAAATGTCAAGTGCTGTATTTATGATGAATAAAGGATAACGTGTCATATGTCAAGTAAGTCTTACGGAAAACCAGATAAAATATCTGCAACTTCATTGCAATAATTGATTATTCCTCTCACTGACGATTTTCCTATTCCATTCTTATTAGTAAAGTTATCCGAATAAGACTCTCGAAGCTGCTTGACATGGCGATCAGCGACTCCATTTCATTTGGACCAGATTTCCATGCGACGGTCTTTTTTGTTATCCTTTCCTATCCAGTCTATGAATATCTTTAGATACGTTACGGTTATTTGGAATTTTCGCTATTGTTCCAATGTGTTACTGACTAGAAATACTTATGGTAACTTCGTTACCGCCAGAAATGATTTCAGCTTCTTGACATGTACTCAATGTTGTTGAATAATCACTTATATACAACAGTGGGCTCTATGGTGTTGCTTTGATACATCATGTCATAGATATATTTATATACTTATATACTTATTTTAGGCAAATACTGACCTTACATTGAAGCTATCACCTTTTGCTGATTTTACAGCAAAACAATCGCCAGAAGTATTTTTATCTGGTTACTTAAATGATTCCATCTAAAGATACAAAGAAATAAAAGGAACGAGAATAAAGGAATAAGTTAAGTTTAACATATTTTCTAAAAACATTAAATCATATGTTAGAACTTGTAAAGATATTTTATTATCGTGTGCTTAACTCTCACTTCGTTCGCGATTGCTTTTAACGTATGACTCGACAATCATCCAATTAGCTGAGCAATGGTCTTCACGTGCAGCACTCAGCTGCATGAGCTGTATGTTCATTTTGTTAAGTGTTGCTTTGCTGGCATAATATTACTCCATAAACATCATGACATGAGTCCCAACTCAGGCATATTATACATACTTACACCAGACTTACATTTCCTTGAATCCTAGATCACCTCTTGATGATCGATCGTCAAGGAAAAAAAACTACCAATATTTTATTTCATAACAGTCTACCAGACCAACCTTGGTAAAAATTCGAATGGTAACTTCGTACTCTTTACAAATCAAAATATGTCTCGTGTTTATTATTAAAAAGCTTGAAATATAATAATACATCTGTCTGCTTAATAAACAACAGTCTAGAGGAAGCAAAATTATGTAAATATGGACTGAAAGATAACAAAATAGTCATGTTAATTATTATCACAATATGTTGAGTTTTTTGCAATTTATAAACAGTCATTATAGATTTTTGCCAACAGACCGTCTGGCGCTGCAATTATGACTATGGCGCGCCATAATTGCCTTTTATTTTTTTCATAAGATGTATGTGTAATATTCCTGTCTATAATGAGTGCATTAGGCAGGTAAATTTCCATCACGTCACCACTATCAAAATCGACATTAAACGTAATAAATAGCAAATATGTATGTCAGTTTAATAACTGGCAATAACTGGTTATACGTGATGTGTTAAAGTCAACAATTATTTATAGTAACTAAAAATACATGTATAATGCAATGATTTTTGTTTGATTTATAACGTTTTGTAATTGAATTTGAACTCGAATTTTATTGAGAAAATATGATTGATGGTTAGCCAAATACTTCATCAATTTAGAATTAACAATAAGAAAAAAAACAGAATCCCTAAAGAAATTTCATAATGGAAAAATTGAAAATGTTTCAACTTGGTTTAATTAAGCCTGTTCATAGATGGTACTGGAAAGTGCAGTCTCCTGTCCATGCCCCCTTGCACCGGCTGAAGCAGAATTCATCATTTAAACACAAAATGTTGAAATTTTGAATTTAGAAACATCCACAGATGAGTTCATACGGTGTTTTTCATGGGACAATCAATGTGACAATTCGTGCCGTTTCATGAAAAGCGGTGTCTGATCTCCAAGTAAAAGAAAGCACGTGCACTAAACGAGAACACAGTGGGCGGCACTAAAAACAAAACGAAATTTTTGAATGGGGGTCAGATGTTATGAAGCTTGCATATCACAGAAAAGACGCCAAAAGACAAATTAAAAACAAAAAGAAAAAAAATATATTATTTTAATAGCAAAATTTTGACAAATACATAAGTTTTTCATATCATTGATTTAATTTTGTAAAGTTGTACAATGAATGATTTGCATGCATGAAAACATAGTGGTCCAGTTCCGCATAATATGATAAAGCTTTAGAAATGAAAAATATTTTGTGAAAAATGTCATAATAATTATTAGAGCCTTCAGCCTTTGAAACAAAAGTCTTACGACTTGTCTCTGAGGCTAGTAAGTCAAGTGTTTTGCAGGTACATACAATTCTAAGCTATACATATACCGTTGTGCCCTCATGGTTTGCTTCGGAATCCGATAATCACCGACAAAATGATATAGAGAAAAACGGAATCCCTAAAGAATAACAAACGTTCACAAGTCAATGAATATTCAGATGTCTCAGTTCAATATTTGTTAACAATAGTGACATCTTATAAGCAGTGAAGTCAATGTTATAAAAAGATAGAAGTTTTTGTTCAATTCATGCGGGATATTTAATGATTTAATCAGTATTCTTAAATCATTTCAAAGAAACTGTCGCATTGAAATCGCTTGTATTTTGTATGCAAACGATCCTTATTCAGAGACCAAAATAGCATTTTTCATGGTAATTTTAAATAATATCAAAGTATAATGACGAAAATCATTTCAGATCATAATGTTAATCGAACTATCTTAAAATTATCTATTAAATGGTTATTCAACTTCTACATGTATATATAAAAGAATTGTAAATTTTCAATCAATACAGAGATAATACGCTTTGAATATATTTTTTAGAATTATTGACTGTCCTGTCATACATATTTTCAGTTTTGTTATAAATCCTTATGATAAAATATTCATATTTGAAAAGTAACACGAACGTTTGTTACTAATTAATTAGTTGTTTTCAAGATATTTATTATTTACGTGCGAACAAGTCTCAAAAATACGTTTATAAAAACAGAAACACACTCAAAACAACAGAAATTTTAACTGTATCCAAGAAAAGATATAAGTTATTACCCATAATTATATAAAAAATTAACAAAAAAAAAAAAATAAAAAATAAAAAAAAGAAATGGATATAAATTTTCTTTCCTCTAAATTTTACTTTGTGTATTATAACAATACATTTAATTTTACAAAATGAAATAGTTGGTTCAATTTTCCTTGATCTCTCAAAAGCTTTTGACTATGTGGATCACTCTATTATTATTGAAAAGCTTAGAATGTATAACCTAGACCCTTCATCAGTTGCTTGGTTTTCCTCCTATTTAGATTGCAGAACCCAACAAACTTACATATCCGGTTTATATTCAGAGTCAAGTTCAATAACTACTGGAGTTCCTCAGATCTCAGTTCTAGGTCCTAAACTGTTTTATCTATATTAATGACCTGCCTTTGTCTATAAAAAATAAAACAACAGAAACTGATATTTTTTTCTGATGACACCACCCTTTCAACATCTGATGTACCCCTTAACAGAGTAGTTGAATCTCTTACTCATGACCTTTTAAGTGCCAACAAATGGTTGGATTTGAATCGCATGTCTATCAATGCAAACAAAACTTAGGTCATGCTTATTTCCTCAAAACACAAGCAAAATTATTTTTATGAAAGTAATCCTTGTATTTCTTATAAAACATAGCTAATTGTTTGTAGCTCTGAAGAAAAATCATTGGGTATTACAAAAAAACAGCTTGTCTTGGCAAAGCCATATTGATCGTGTTCTTAAAAAGTGTAACTCATTGTTACATTTATTATCACGTATAAAATTATTCATATCTATACCTGTATGTAAAATGTTTTACAATGCATATATTTTACCACATCTTGATTGTTGTTGCATAATTTACGGTAACTGTACGTCTGTTCTAGAAGATAAACTCATTAAGTTCCAAAAGAGAGCTGCAAGACTAATTCTAGACAAAGATTATAACACTCCATCTGCTGAACTTTTTTCTGAACTCCGCTGGATGACCTTTTCACAGAGGGTTGTTTTTCAAAAAGCTATTATGATGTTTAAAATAATGAATTATCAGGCGCCTTCCTATTTATTGAATAATTTCATTTTATCGTCAGATGTTCATACTCGCATTTTGCGTTCATCATCTGATTTTCAACTTTATACACCTAGACCAAATACTGAACAATTTCGTAAGTCTTTTGTTTATTCTGGGTCTTGTATTTGGAACGGCCTTCCTGATTATATTAAGTCTGCTACATCTGTTAACCATTTTAAAACCTTATACTTGAGGTTTTATCACACATTGATGTATACAAATTGATAATCTCCTGTATGTTTTTACATTTATGTATTTTAATAGTTTAAATATGTTAAATTTATATTGTTCCTTGTTGAAGGCCTCATGGAAGATTGATATGTTTGTTCAAATGAGTTCTCTCGTTAAATAAAGTCTTCATTATTATTATTATTATTATTATTGTAAGGCAATATAGAATTGATTCGGTAATACACGTGAATTGGATAAATGAAAATACAAGCTCTATAAACGTACTACTTATTGAGTAAATTACAAGCTTTCAATGAATTTTGTTTCAAACATGCCTTTCATTACAACCGACAGTAAAGAAGTAGTTAAAATGAAAATCTTTGTACTTTTCATAGAAGAAAACTTAAACGGTTATACTCTTCCGAAGAGACGCTTTTAGAAATCCTTTACTTTTTGATGGGGAGATTTAAAACAAGGTTTTCTGAGGTTCTTTCTCCAGAAGGTAGATTGGCCGCACAATGTTCGACTGAATTTGATGAAAAATGTTAACATAGATTTTGGAGGAAGAACTCGGGATATTCTTGAATAGAGTGGTAAGGATGAGAAATGATTTTTAGGATATTTTCCCATTAACATTGGTGACAGAAATTTAAAAAGTAGCCATTTT